GTCGTCGACAAGATCGGAAGTAATTATTGCTGTTAAGGATATTGAATGTAACGCTCGCGATGCGAAAGTTCCAGCTCATGATGGAAATTATAACAGGATAATTTTATTACTTAAACTTGTTTTTCCTGTAAAAGGAACGAAATGAAAAAATATATTTATTATCACATGTTGATATAAAAATATTATTGGAAAATTAATTAAATTATATATGGAAGTTACAAGATGTATTTTGAAACGGGGCAAATTTTTTTGAAGACACGACGAAACGAGGATCGTATTTTACGAAAGTTACGTGTCAGTAAAATCAGCAGTAGACGGCCAGAGCAGGAGATCGCGCTGATTCGAAGACAAAGAGAGGCGGGAGGGAATCTTGTTAGCCCGTTAGCTTTTGCGGGACGTCGGTCGGAATTTTCGGCGTCGCTTGAAAGTTTCGTCGACCGTGAGCGCCGCGATACGGATTTAAATTCAGGCACCGCGAAAATTCCGGAACGCCTCGATGTACGGGGTTGGTAACCGGGCTCGGGGTCGCGGGGTCCGCGTAGCTGCGAGGTTTTGCGGCTGGTTGCAGGATTGGCTGGTTAATTTCACACTCCCATGATTATATAGGCGAGATGGGGAACATTTATATTCGCGCGCGCGGGAACGCCGAGGGTGTCTGATTGGGTCCGATATTCAGGGAATAAAAAAGTTCGGAGCGATTCGTGTCGTTCGCACTCATTCGCCGTATCTCTCTCCTCGTCGTTTCCGTTCCGATCAGCTGTTTGTCCCCGTTCCGCGTTTCCTGTCTTCTTCGTCCTCTCTCCTCCCCCTTCCCCGGCCACGCAAAAGCGTATAGATAGCTACTGGGATCAGGAATGTATAGACGTAATGCCTCCGTTCGTCGAATCGAAATGTTCGATCATACGCGAGATTGGCTCATTCTTTATCTTCTTGCGGCATCCCATTTTCGTAGGGCCGACGAGATCCTAGAACGGATATGTGCGAGGGATACCTTGATCGTGTCAGAAAAAAGATGGACGAAATGAATCGGGTGTAATCTTGCGAAAGTCAATTCGCAAAGTTTCCAAACAGATAATCTTAGTCATCATTGAACAGGAATAAAAAGTATGAAAAATATTAGATACAAAAATAATTAATAACTGTCACTTCCTGTCAATTTTATTTTCTATAAAATAGGCAATTAACAGTTTTAACATTTTTATAAATATTATTATATTAGAGATTATAAAATTATAAGAAATTATAATAAATTTATTTTAATGAGATTTGTTATCACGCACAGAATGTAAAATAATATAAGAAATAAGAATATTAAAAATAATATAAGAAGCACAGAATACGTGCAAGAAACAGAAAAGTTATAGGCGGGTATATTTTAATCGTTATAATTTAACAGATACTTTAAAATGTATCATGTGGCCGTATCTATGGCTTTTGCATTCCACTAAGCATTGGATCATTACACGAGAAGGTTCATATCATAAAATACGCCTCAATCATGAGATCTAAGTAATGACCACGATAACCGTTTTACAGCTCATAGCCGCATAATCTGCGGCAATATAATTACGTGGGTTCCAGTGGCACTTTAAGCACTGCTGCCATGTAATAAAAGCAGCGTTAAAAGCTCCATGGCGATTAACACTAACAACATGTCAAACAGTTTTGATGATAATTTTGCGTATATACAAATTTATTTTAGTATATATTTCAAAAGTTCTAAATTATTATTCAACAAAGTTGCTAATCAATCGACAATTTTTACAGTTCGATATACCGCGTTTTATTTCTTCCACTCTATAAAACTTTGCCTTTGGCTTCGAATACTCGCGCCGACATATCCGCGCTGCGATCAAGCGCGGTAGCCTGTAATCGCGAAAATTTGGAAAAAGGGCTGCAGCGGACCATTGTGTGAAACGAACAGTGGACGAGGGGGGAGGAAGAAGCGAAGGCGAATGGGTGGCAATCTATAGCGAAAATGCTATTCGCGCGGGGCTCGTTTCGAACGGTCAGGCTACGCCAACACTGGCTGCTTTTAGTGTGAAATGAATGCTTGTAATTACGAAGGGATCGCAAGAGGGGGTGGGAGAGCGAGAGAGAAGGAGGACCAGGGTGGACGATGGGTGGGTGGTTAGCAGGACCGCCAGTCGGGACGAGGGAGGATGAGAGTACAACGGTTCGCTAAAGTCGGTCTGCAATGATAGACCGTTAGCTCCATCGACGTTGCTGCAACGCGCTGCACACACCAGCCATCCTGTCATAATGTCCACTAATTGTAATAGCCACCCTGTCTACCGGACTCTATCGGACGAACGAGACGAGACGCATAGGTTTGCGAAACGCACGGGCATATCTCGAACGAAGGAAACGTTAAATGACAAGGAAAGACGGGGGAAGAAATTGGATCGATTGTACGATCGATCCTGGGAAACTTTTGGTCGATGTACGAGGATTTTTCTATCGACGAAATATAAAGTTAGTACATTCCCTTTCGGAGTCCATTTAGATTACAGGTGAGCCATTGCTCTCATTCCATCGGGATTCTCTCTTTATTCAAGAAACTAGATATCCTCTTCTTGATCAGCTGTACGACTTTTTGCCCGTTGAACTCTTTTATGCCACGCATACAGTATCGTGTTATCAGACTGACTAGTTTCGTCCAGCAAAGAAACCTTTTTGCCGGACTGCTCAATTTTTACGTCGATTCGAAGCGAAAATAAATAGCTAGATTCAAATGTTCATTGATATATATGTATATTTAAATTTATCAAACCTCCTACGAAAAATTCAAAATATATACGAAAAAAATCCCTCTCTTTCTTTCTCTTGTTTTTTTATATTAAGTGCAATTTCTATACTTTTATACATGCAAACGTATTCACAACTTGTGAATAAATATTCTAATTTGGAGTGATGGTAGCAAGTTGATCATACGATGAATTTGATCATTGATCGCATCTTCATAAAAAAGCTAGCACGGAACTGTACGTATGTTTATCTTTTCTCGAATACCATGGATTTGAAGTGCTGGGAACGAGAGAAAAAGGGAGAATCCTATAGCAGTAACATCCGCCATACAAAGCTTCTCGTCTTGTTCTTTTCAAAATCGATGCAAAATCTACGCAGATTTGCAACAGATTTGATTAAAGATCCAATTATGTTCATGCGACAATAAACCGATATCTATAAATTTTCATAGGAAAAATATGAACGATATATATTTTATTAATATATATCGTTCATATTTTTGCTATGAAAATTATTATCTTTTTAATTAATAAAAGTCACAACGCACGCACAGAAAACGCATAAATCTACTTACATTACATAATTGTAATAACAAATTTCTAATAAATATATTTTGAGAAATATATTTTGAGAATTATAAAAGTTTTATCTTAAGTGCATGTTATTATATACAGGTGCGATAAATTCATCGCATTTATTACACATGACTTGCAGCAAAATGTAATGTAATGTAAGAAATTTAATGTAACAAAATGATTAGATTTTTTTTCCTTTAGAAACTCATATTTTATTTTATTTCCCGACGCGCGAAAACATCACTCTCCCCACCACGCAATTGACTTGCAGCTACATTAATTTAGCGATTCGGGGTAATATATTTCGGAGTTTGCCAGCTGAAACAGCTTTATACGCCAGATTTAATTAATAATCTAGATTAGATATATGAGAGTCGGTGTGTTGCGTGTGGAAGTGTTCTTAGTTGGCAGATTCGGCCTCGACTGTAATTTCGCCGGTAATTGGACCGATATGGAAAACTTGCCTTTCCATCTAATCGCCTATCTCGAAACTTATGTCAAGTTGATTCTATGCAAACTCGATGTATATTATAAGACATATTGCTTTTAATAAAAATATCCAAAAACACTGAGTAATTGACCGAGATTAAAATGCATAGTATATTAAATCTTATCTTATAACATATACAAAATTAAATTATATAAAAAAATTATATCAACTCTATATCAGAAACTAACATAAAAACATAATTACAGGAATTAAAAACATGAATTACATAACATGAACTTTATGAAAACAAATATTTATCCTTTATATTAAGTTTATATTATATTGCATAATTTTACAAATGATAAATATACATTGTTCATGTATATTTATCATTTGTTTCTAAATTAAATTAATAAAAACTTAATTCACATCTTTTCTTATTGATATAATATGTAAAGAATTATTGTTATAGAATCTATAATGACAAAATGACCTTATTTTTTAGATCTTATTTGTTGCCAATAAGTATTCCATGATTCATAAAATTTATTACAGATCTAGATGAACATACAATTTCTAATCAGATTTTTTCAAGTTTAATATCTTATGTAAAAATATATTTTCTAACTAATCAGACGTAAATACAGAAAAATAATTTTTAAATATATCGTTGTGCTTTTGATACTGATATAATATAACTTTTCTTGACAAAAAAAATGCATGTTTACTTAATGAAAACAGAATTTAAATTTAAAATATTAAGCTTTGATAGTATAGTCTCTATTGCACGTTAAACTAATTATAAATTAATATGATATTTATTAATACAGATAACAATTTTATGCTACTTTTATACGAACGTTTTTTACAATTAAATAAATAGAAACTTGACAAACCAAATTAATTAAATATTACTACTACAGCATATATGAATATTTCAATAATATAATAATCACATATAAATATTTTAATAATAGAAAGATTATTATTATTATAAGATATTAAGATTAAAGATTATATTTTTTTTTTATTTTCTCACACTTATTTATATTATTTTTTATTTAATTTTCTCAAACTTATTTATTTCATAAAATTGCTACTGTATTATGTTGCAAACGTAAAGCAAAACCTTATCAAAAATATCAATTCTTTCATTTAATGTAAAGAATTATATAAATAATAATATAAATAATAATAATATAAATAAATAAATAATTATATAAATTCTAGACAAAACGATTATATTATTAGTAATTATCTGATGTAGCATTAGCTTCAACATCTGTTTCGGAATCCGCGCCATCGACAATTTCGTGATTTTGAATTGGTTCAGCATCTGCATGCAAAATGATTAAAAAAATAAAAATTGTTGAAATAGTGTCAGCATTATAAAGCTTTATCACAATCACTGTTCAATTACATCTTATAATCAGATTTTCAAATATTATATAAAAAATTTTTTGCGCAAATATTTACATGTACAATTTTGTAAATTGCCAATCATACTTATAAAAGTTAAAAACTGATTTATTATATCCAGTTATAAGTTTACAACTAAGACTTATTTAAATATTTATAACATAAATTTACCTTATTTTTTATCATCTTCCAAAAATCTTTTAATTTTATGTATTTGGATTACGTCGTTTATCAAACTTGCCAGACTACTTTTTATAATTGTTTCTGCATTATCGTGAATACCTTGACCTGATTCATCATCTAGCATACAAAGTAATTACAAAAATGAATTATTAAAATATTTTTAGTATCATCTAATTTTGGTTTATAATCAATCGCATTATCTAAATAATTCATGAAATGGCACAATTATATCTCTTATTATCCGAATATCATAATGTATTTAGATCTTTGAATATTATTTATTACACAATTTTTTTCTTATTTTCGATTATTGAATTTGTGATTTTACAAACAATCAATTATAATTAAATAGAAATTTAGTATAATACAATTAATTATTATATTTGCATATAATAATCAGCTTTAATTGAAATTGACTCAAATCTTCATAATGCATATAGAAGTTAGACATTTGATTTTGTAAATAATTATTGTGCATACACACACACAAAGTATATATTAAAAAAGAAGAAACGTACATAAATTTATTTTTCTTACCATGTGTTTCTTTCAATTTATCTTTATGCTTTGCATTTAAATGTTTTCGAATACCAGAAACCTCATGAAAAGAAATATGTTTCTCTACACGGATATAAATATTGATATAATTTAAATCTGACTAAACCGTCTAGTATTGTATCTTATTATTCGATAGGCATATCTGAAATGTCAAACATCATCACAAAATAAAAAGAAAAAAATCAGATGAAAATTACCTAATATTAAAATAACCTAATATTAAAATTTTATTTTTTACTTTGACTTAAAATCTAGTTGAATTCTTTTTTCATTTAAGTTGGTTTTATATGTGAAATTTGATGAACTTTTCATTTAAAAAAAGATTTCATGATTTGCGATGCTCGATTAGAAAATATTTTATAAATTATATTAATGCAGGAAAATCAATATTATTTTCTTTTAAAATTGCTTAAATTTATTTAATTTTTAATCGCTCTATATTATGTCGCAAAGCAAGTTATTACACATCAAAAGTATCATTTTTTTTCTTAAAGCTGTGTTAAAAATAACTCTATTATCGATAATGATTGCTTAATGTAGCATCTTAAACATCGTGTTTTGAAGTCAACACCGTCACCTAAGCTTTGAGTTTCACTTGATTCATCATTTGTACACAAATAATTAAAGAATTAAGAATTGATTGAATAATTTTAATATTATAAAATTTTACTAGAGAAGTATTATACGATTAACTTATAAATTTGTTATTGTTGTAATTGTTGTAATTGCACGTTATTCAAATATCAAAATATTCAGATTTGCGAATATTACATAAACTAGAATTTTTTTTGTATACAATTACTTGGTTATAATTGCATTATTCTATTGCAAATTATATAGATCGTTTGCTCATAATATACATTTACTTCAAATTAATATAAGTCTAATGCAATATCATTAAATATCTTTAAAGTTATTTACACACACGCACACACACATATATATTTATTTTGTGTGTCACAATAATATTTAAATTTTGACTTAAATTTTAATACAAGATAAACAAAAATAAGATCAAACATTGGAGTTTTAAACATTTTGACAATTTCTCTTATTTTATATTACTTTTCTTTAAATGTATAAAAAATAAGACGATGTTATACACATGGCAATTCATTAACTATGTCGGGAATAATTACAATTGTTAAATCGAGACATAACGAGAACTGTAACATGAGCATAATGACTATCAGATTCGAAGCTAATAGCTTCAATTTATATTACCCACACAGACACACGTATTAAATAAATATATTATACTACAACTCTTTATATTTGAAGATGGCATTTATTAATAGAAACATTTATATCCTTCATATTTATATCTTTTATATTATTTCTATCTTATATTATATAATTTTATAAAATATTTTTGTTCCCGTATCATCATCTTTAAAAATTCGTATCTAAATTAAATTAATAAATATTTAATTGATATCTTTTCTTATTAATATAGAACGTAAAGAATTATTGTTATAGAATCTATAATGACAAGATGACTTCATTTTTTAGTTTGTTTCCAATATGTATTGCATGATTCATATAATTTATTACAGACTAAGATGAAATACAATCAGATTTTTCCAAGTTCAATATCTTATGAGTGTTAAAATATATTTTCTAACTAATCAAACGTGAATACAGAAAAATAATTTTTAAATATGTCGTTATTTTTTTAATATTGATCATACAATATAGCTTTTTTTGACTAGACTTTTTGAATAAAGAAAAAAATATGCATGACTAATTTAATAAAACTGAATATCAATTAAAAATATTAAGTTTTTATAGTATAGCCTTTATTGCAAGCCACGTTAAATTAATTATAAATTAATATGATATTTATTAATACAGACCAATTTTATGCTACTTTTATTATATAAGCGTTTTTAATACAATTGAATAAATAATAACTTGATAAACTGAAATAATTAATTATTACTACTACAGTATATGAATATTTCAATAATACAATAATCACATATAAATATTTCAATAATAGAAAAGTCAACATATTATTTTTTTTTAATTTTCTCGTATCATTTTATAATATTTTTTATTTAATTTCTTCAAATTTATTTAACTGATAAAATTACTACTGTATTATGTTGCAAACGCAAAGCAAAAACCTATCAAAAATATCAATTCTTTTATTTAATGTGAAGATTATATAAATTCTAGACAAAACAATTATATTATTAGTAACTACTTGATGTAGCATTTTCTTCAACATCTGTTTCGGAATCCGCACCATCGACAATTTCTTGATTTTGAATTGGTTCAGCATCTGCATGCAAAATAATTAAAAAAGTAAAAATTGTTGAAGTAATCTCAGCATTGTCACACTGTTCGATTATATCTTATAATTACTATTAAATCATCTGTTATTAAAAATATCCGAAAAAGATATCAGATATTCAAATCTTATATAAACCGAAAAATTTTGGACGATTATTTACATGTACAATTTTATAAATTATCAATTATACTTATATAAAAGTTAAAAACTGATTTATTATATCCGGTTACAATTCAGTATAACTAAAGCGTATTTAAATGTGTTTAACTAAAATTTACCTTGTTATTCATTTTTCTTATTTTTGTTATGTATTTGGATAAGGTCGTGTCTCAATCTTAACAGAAGACCATACATACATTGATCTGATTCATCATCTAGCATACAAAGTAATTAAAAAAATGAATGTTAAAATATTTTAGTCTCAAATCTTGGTTTGTAATTAATCGCATTATCTAATTAATTCATGCAATTGTACAATTAAATCACTTATTATCCGAATATCATAATATATCTTTGAATATTATTTAAACAAAATTTTTTTCTTATTTGCGATTATTGAACTTGTAATTTTACAATTTCTCAATTATAATTAAATAGTAAATAAGTATAATAAAATTAATTATTATATTTGCATATAATAATCAGCTTTATTGAAATTGACTCAAATCTTCATAATGTATATAGAAGTTGGACATCTGATTTTGTAAATAATTATTGTGCATACACACACACAAAGTATATATTAAAAAAGAAGAAACGTACATAAATTTATTTTTCTTACCATGTGTTTCTTTCATTTCATCTTTATGCTTTGCATTTAAATGTTTTCGAATACTAGAAACCTCTAAATTTACAGGAAAATAGTTCTTGTGCGCACAAAGAGCGCACAATGCATTATTGTTTTCAAATGAGAAATATTGCCATATCCAATTCTTTTTTTTATCAATTTCATCATAAATTTTATTATGATCCATTGCTACGTGATTTTCATAATGATTCTTGTAAATGGTAATGTAATAAAATAAATCGCAAAATCTGCATTGTGCTTTATCATTTTCTAATGTGCAGTATTTTATCCACCACAACACTCTTCTCTTATGTCGTTTCCCTTTAACATTATATTCATACAATTATTATTCAATCTTTAAATAACGTAAATGTATTCATATTTCTGAATGTCACACAAATCAAAAAATTTTCTGCTATGCAATTATTTAAATGCATGATTTTAGAAATCATAATTAATATATTTTAACAATATATGCAACAATTAGAATATTATATCAATTAAATATTAGGAACAATTAAAAATATTTTAAATGTTTATAAAATAAAATTACTTTGTTTATCTCTACCTGTGTCGATCATAGATTCATGTTGTTTTGAGTGATTTCTAAGTTTAGGATATATTTGAATCTTATATTCTTAAGACAACGCTTGCACTTCATCATATTGTTTTGGAGTTCGAAATATTGAAATAACCAATTATCTTTGAAAGTATGTTCATTATGCTGCGTTTCCATATGTACTTTATAAGTCCTTGTGTTTATGTATTTTGTATACTTTTGTTTACAATGTATGCATTTGGCCACATTTTCTTTAAATATCCAATATTTTTCCATGTTTGCGCGTTAATGTTATATTTACACTGTATGTTATAGAACTTATTGTATTATATGTAAGGAAATAACTAGTTCACCGAGGTGCGCTCGTGGAAATTTTTCTCGACAATAAGGGTCATGAAAAGAAATGTGATTCTCTGCATGAATGTAAATATTGATATAGTTTAAATCTGACTAGTATTGTATCTTATTATTCGATAGGCATATCTGAAATGTCAAACATCATCACAAAATAAAAAGAAAAAAATCAGATGAAAATTACCTAATATTAAAATAACCTAATATTAAAATTTTATTTTCTACTTTGACTTAAAATCTAGTTGAATTCTTTTTTCATTTAAGTTGGTTTTATATGTGAAATTTGATGAACTTTTCATTTAAAAAAAGATTTCATGATTTGCGATGCTCGATTAGAAAATATTTTATAAATTATATTAATGCAGGAAAATCAATATTATTTTCTTTTAAAATTGCTTAAATTTATTTAATTTTTAATCGCTCTATATTATGTCGCAAAGCAAGTTATTACACATCAAATGTATCATTTTTTTTTCTTAAAGCTGTGTTAAATATAACTCTATTATCGATAATGGTTACTTAATATAGCATCTTAAACATCGTATTTTGAAGTCAATATCGTCACCTAAACTTTGAGTTTCGCTTGATTCGTCATCTGTACACAAATAATTAAAGAAATTAAGAATTAATTGAATAATTTTAATATTATAAAATTTTACTAGAGAAGTGTTATTCGATTAACTTATAAATTTGTTATTAGTTATAATTGCACGTTATTTAAATATTAAAATATTCAGATTCGCTAATATTACATATACTAAAATTTTTTTTGTATACAATTAGTTGAATATAATTGCATTATTTTGTTGCGAATTATATAGATCGTTTGCTTATAATATACATTTTTTTGAAATTAATATATGTCAAATTTCTAATGAAATATCATTAAATATCTTTAAATTTACTTACACACACAGATATATATATTTCTTTTATGTGTCACAATAATAATTAAATTTTGACTTAAATTTTAATACAAGATAAACATTGATAAAGTCTATTATTACGGAAGTTTTAATAAACATTTTGGCAATTTGTTATTTTATTTTATATGTTTAAATATATAAATAAAACATGTTATCTACACTACAATTCATTAACTATGTTGGGAACAATTACAATTGTCAAGTCGAGACATAACGAGATCTGAGACGTGAGCATAATTATGGCTATCAGATTCGAAGCTAATAGCTCTGCATCACCCCAAGCGCGGAGTATTGTTGCCATCTCCCTCGTTGCCTTAGGGCTCTCTGCGTAATTACCATTACCCACAAACCGATAGCTACCATGCTTATCATATTCTGCGGCAATAATAGCGTTGGTACAGCTATCACGCTGTGATTGCATTCGATTCGAGATGTTGCTCTGCATGATCAGAGACAGTTCCGAAAAATCGACTGGAGGAATGTATATATACATGTGTATCTAGCTAGAAAAAAACGTTTCAATTAAATGCTGCAATAAGTGTCGATGTGTTATTCTGACATTTGAAAATATATTACAAACTATTAGTTAATAAATATTCTGTTGACGAAATTTATGAGTTACAAATTAAAAAATGATACAAAAGTTAATATTAAAATAAAAAAATATATATATATAAATTGTGTGTATAATCTTTGCATAATTTTTCAATTTTTTTAAATTTTAATTTTTTTAATTTCTCCAAATATCCTTTTATGATAATATATGTATATGCGTGTAAAGAAATATCTTTTAAGAATTAAAAAAATAAATTGAAATATTTATTAATTATTTAATATTAATTTCATCAGAATATTTAGTAGCCAATAATTTGTAACATTTTTTCCAATTCTTATAATATAGCTGATAAGGAAAATTAAGTAATATATACGTACGCATACATACGTGCGCGTACAACACATACACAAGTGTATATTGCAATATAAAAGCTGAAAATAAAAAAAAATCGGCTTGCTGAACTTGTCAAATTTTGCTTGAGAAACGAGAGTAATGTTAATAAATTTTCTGCTTACTTTCATAGCATCATCACTTTATTACCTGCATCTATATAACCGCATCGCGTATTTACTTCTCGCTTAATATTCTATGCTTTCATGAGACGAGAGACCGCTTTACGACCACCGCGAAGTACCGTATAATGCAGTTTTAAGCCACGACTTGTAAGCTCCGGAGACCAATGATAAACCGCCAACAATAATAACGCTTACACGATGCGGTTGAATGCATGCTGGAAAATGCATTATGAGATCCCATGCGTGCTACCTAAATCGAAATAAAAAGATAAATTGTATTTGCGTGCATGTAATTGCATCATTAACTTAAATCTTGTTAATTACATGTACTTTGCATTCTTGCATTTCCAAAACAATAGCTATATATATTAATTGAAATATCATTTTTTTAATATTTTACTATTTTTCGACTTCTATTACTGTTAATTATTCTGAAAATTCTGAAAATAATTCTTTCTCTAATTACATTCTATGCAGTAACATTGTTCTTTTGCTTAAAAATCACGCGTGTTTCTTTTCATCTTAATCGAGAAAGCAATATTGCTGTATCAAAAACAAGGCATATTCTAATTAAATTTCAGAAGATGTATATATTGATTTTTCTCCAGAATATGTGTCAACGCGCAAATTACAATTCTCCGAGAAACATTAAGTACGAAGGAGATTGGTTTTTTAAGGAAATTTACAATCGGAATGGCGCGTTTAACGCTCGTTTGTGCCTCGACAGATACCAGGAAAAAAGATTCTCGCGGAAAAGAGACGCGATAAACAAAGCACCTGAGAAAAAAGGGAGAATGAGAAAATGCTTCTCGCGACGAAGGACTGAGCGAGAGTAAGGAAAAAATTAATTTCGAATAGTCCTTGTCGCTGCGTCAGACAAGTCACTGATTTGATCTACTCTTCGAGCAGAGAAATACGCAAAGAGGTGCACGAATATCCTCGAAGATCCTACGATGATATATGCGGAGAATTAAATGAAGGTTCTCGGAAGTCTTCTAACACAAAAGCAACGAACCTCAGTTACCAATCAATATTTTATCAACGTGTAATTTGCACGTGATTATATATGTTCTTTTTTTTAATGTATCTTATTTGTGTATTTTCTTATATTTTATATGTTAATTCAATTCAAAAAATGTATATAATTTATAGTAAAATAAATAAATCAACCAATAATAGATGTGTTTGCAAATCTATTTAAAAATTTATCTTAAATATCTCACTTGTTTTTCGTAATACAAAAAAATATCTAAAAAAAAAAAGTTGCACTGTTCGAACAATTATGATAATAGAAAAGTTTTTTCAGGATCATATTTTTAAAGATTTGAAGATCAAGACTTCTTTTAAATGAAACTACATATTTTTATTTGCACGATTTTAATACAAATAAATAATTTTATTTATACAATAATCAACATCGAGGAATTCAATGATAACATAATTTTTAAATGATTTTGAATATGGAAAATTATATATAGCGTCTAAAGAAAACAGAAAAGTCAAACATTTATTTATATATTTTTCGACAAAAAAGTTTAAATATAATTATCCTAATGAATAGTGCAAGTTTTTTCTAGATATTTTTTCGTGTCATCAAACACAAATAAGGTATTTAAGATGCTCGATTTAAGAAGATTATCCTGTATATGTAACTTTTGTTTTTGGAAACAATGCAAGAGCGCAAAGTATTCTAAAAAAGAAAAGATAAGTAGAGGAAACAAAAAGATTTAATTAAAAATAGATCTTATCACCCAATTAACATGTGTATTTCATTGTCTCTCTCTTTCTGCTGGTTTTCCTCGACATCTCACGTTCTCGGTTTCAGTCAACCTTCATCCCTCTTCGATTCCGTCTTTTTCGCCCGCTTATCCTTCACTTTCCTCTAAAATGGAGTGAATCCTCGGTCTCCTTTTGGCGCTCTCTCTCTCTCTCTTTTTCATTCTCGGTTACAACCCCCTTTGCGTGGGAACCAAACGTGAACTCTTGTCACGAGCACGTGCGCGCGCCGCAACACGGCTCGCCGGAAATGACGTAATAATTAATGGACTCGTATCAATTAGCGGGTGCCTACGTCCCCCGCCGGTCGTCAGTTTTAAATCGGTTCACGCGGCGCTGCAAATTTCTCTGTTTCTCTCGCCTTCTCTTCCCCTTCTTCTCTCTCGTCCTCCCACGTCTCGCGTACGGGCCGCACCTATTAATTACGAAAAGGTCCATCAATTTGACACATTAACGTATCGCCGGTGCAGATGTCGCGTTAACGCTAAACCGCGTCGCCATGTGCGGCGAAAAATGTACGCGGTCGTACGGTCGTTTTTAAAATTCCTCGAGCGATCGTTCAGCGTTAATAGCGCGTGACATCAGGATATGAAGTCGCCACGATGACTTTATAATTTCAAACGCGAACTTTTTAGCTTAATATTAAAGTTTCAACGATATTGTATTTAGCCTGGTGTTGAAATCTCCCGGTATAACAGCACATATATCGCGTATTACGCTCATAATTCACAGTGGCAGCGAGATCGAGTGACAAAACAACGTGCCAAAAACGAAGGTGGAAGAGCGAAAGCAAAGCCTAACGCCCGCAGCTGGCACGTGAGGGCGAAACCATTATTTATAGGGTTTACGGGATCTGGTCCACCGCAAAAGGCAACGGGCATTGCATCCTTGGAGGGGCTACAGCTCGCGCAAATCGAGGGCGTTGCCAAGTGGAAACTGAGAAGACGTTTACTGTTTATGCTACATCCCGCCGCGAGAAGACCACCCCCGGAGCATACGTTTGCTTATATCGTCGGTCCGCGGTCGCATTCTCTGGTCGCATCATCCTCCGTCCCTTGAACAATGAGTATACCGAGTACACCTTCTGAGAAGGTTAACGACGCCCTGCTTAGGATAATGTGAGCATCCGGAAACGCTTGTAATGAAGGTACATGGACTTCAGCCGCGTGCCTTCATTAATAGGAAGGTGCTTCTTGTAACTCGACTCATCAGGACAACCATCTTGACGTCAGTGAAGTTTACATTAGTAAAATCGCACAATTATTATTTCCTCCTGAAACAAACAAATTTTTTAAAGAATTTTTAAAAGAATTATAAAATAATTATAATTAATAAAAATAATTTTTTAAAGAATTATGTATCTTTTTTATTAAATGAAATTTTTTGGTAAATTATTTAGGCATTTCATAATGTTTTTTTTAACAATTTTATTAATTAATTTACTTATTTATTTACTTAATTAATAATAATGTATATACAAAATAAAAACAGGTGAAAGATTCCATGAGATATTTTCAATTTTCAATCATGAAAGGAAAATAGGTAAACGCTTATCTCAGCCGCAATTTGACGTAAATTCCCGAACGACAATCAATTTGCGGAAATAAAGTTTGAGCGGCCATTGTTTGCCGAATCTTGCGCACAAAAATACCATCATGAGATCCTCATGTTTTTTTCCATTCCTCCGTTACTCCTTACAAGGGTGCGTCTATTTGTACCGTTACCTTTCTGTTGGACCCTTCGAGATAGAAACCCTTCTCCGTTTGACGTATCTCGTTTAAGCTCGAAATCCGCTTGTTTATACAAACTAAGGTGCACCGACGGCGAGAGAAATGGAAATAGCGACAAGGAGGAAACGTAGGAGAAGACAAACGCTAGGGAAAAATTTTTCTATAGACGCCTGCTCCATACAATTTCATCCCTAACCGACAAACTTTTCTTTTTAGACCGACAAGCTTCTTATTGTGAGAGACAATTCCAACAACTGACGTTCTTTCCCAACCTGCATGCTCGCCTCCACTTGGTTTTTTTCCTTTCTTTCCTTTTCCCCGTAGCTTGCACTTTATCCAGCTTTCGTCCCGGCTTCTTAGTTTCCTTTTTCACACTTTTTTCGTGTGTGATCTACGAGCGGAGCCGGCCTAGACGACTTTGGCATCTCACTCTCGCTTTTCTTAAAATCGCCCTTCATAAATCATAAAAATTTGGCGAAAATAACTCTCTCCGTCGTATTTATTCCAACTTCTAATATATTTTATATAACAATTTCGTATAAAAATAAAATAACTATGTTTTATTATCAATTTTTAACTATATTTATATATATTTTTTTCTAATAGAAAAAACTATCAAGCAATTTTGGATGTATGACCATTCGATCCACTCTGTATTTGCGAGTTGCATACAAAAAAGTCTACATTCGCGATTGAGGACACTGCGAGGGAGACGCTTAGAGCTACGCTTTGCTTTGCAGCTCTCACGTTAGATTGCCACGAAGCTTTCCGATGACTTCGCGATCGTTTCACGTTCGGCATGCACTGACCTGTGCGCTAGGTTTGTTTTACGAGACATTCACAAGTGCGTAACAGTCGATTTGCATTTATATTAGTGCTCGTCGAAGCGTGAGTCTTGGACCATTGTTCATTTCAACCCTGTCAATTTGAACGGCATCCGGTGACCCCGATCAAGAGCGCTGGAGTTCACCCCTTCTTCCTCCCGAAAACTTTAAACTCTCCGGAGACTGTGTTTAATCGCACGGAATGAGCGCTAGAAGGTATGAAGATGCAATATGTCCAATCCGCGGGGATTAAGAGTCAATCGTCCAACACGCGATAGAGCGAACGTATTAATACGCCAGCTGATGCACGACGATCCACGTGACGCTTTCTGCGTCTCATAGATAATTCGATCTGGTGGAATAATAAATGAGACGGACAAACGATCCATGAAATAGGCTCAGTCTGGTGAGCGACTGGTGGCTCTTGACGCGAAACGAGTTTAATCTTTCGATAGAAAATTGGCGTCAGATTTTCCGTCGCATCTTTTCCCACGAGTATATTTTATAAAAGATTAAACACAACACAATTAAATATTATTTATGTATGAAATAATGTAATAGTCGGAAGAAGATTACATTGTCTTTCTTATAATCGAGTAATAATGACAGCATTAATAAAATTTATTTTAATAATGAAAGAGGAGGGTGATAAAAATAAGAAATGACGATATTTAATAGCATCTTCGAAAAACACCTGAGATTGATTGATCTAATTATCGAAACGATTATCCGTGCGCGCGCATTCATTGTTTCTCAGTGAAATGAAACTCGGTAAATTCCAAACGTGATCGCAACTATTCCCACCAGAAACTTTCGTACGCAAAGTTTCCAACGAGCGTGAGAGAAATTTTCCTCGTTTTTCGCAAGCTGACAAAATACTTCAACAATTAAGT